GTTTGTTTTACGGCATATCAACCTCATTGTGTTATTTCTGGCCGACAAGATTTTTATTGCTGGAAATGTTTTTTTTTTCAAAAACTTATTGATGTTAATAATTTTTTACAAAGTATTTCTGGTAATAATTTTTTACAAAGTATTTCTTGTATTAAAACTTATTTTTACAATTTCATAGTCTTTTGCCCCCAGTTTGGGGGTTAACTATTTACCCATAGCTGGGACCCTAAAATGGTGGATCTGGGAACACCAACAATTAAGGGGTGCTTCTATGCACCACAAAACCTCCTGATCGGAGTCCTTGCTGTTGGACGTTGTTTATCGTCTTGTCCAGGACGCGGATGTAGTTTATTGTCATACACTGAACGAAAAAAAAATTGTATTCAGATTCTATAATCAGAAAGAAATATATATACACATTATTTACATTGTTCGGAAACTGAAACAGAGGTACCCAGAAAAGGCATAGAAAGTTGAAAGAGAACAATCTATCCCCATGGACAAAATAAAGTGCCCGGTTCAAATTTTTAACGTATGTCACCTGAAGAAGGTCGGAGTGTACTACGGCCGAAACGTCGGGAATATGACAATAAAGATGAGGACAATAGTCCGAACATTATAAATAGTGGAAAAATAGAAATATAAACAGATGTCTAATATATGTTTAATTAAAAGAATTTTATGTCTTATATTCTTTATACTTATCGCCCCATCACCTTCATTTGAGTCATTAGCAAAATCCTTAAGTATTACCAAGAAGAACATTTTTGAACATCTTAAGAGAAACAACCTGCCAAGCGATAACGCTATGAATTTCTCTTCTCTATATCCACTACTGATGTCCTATTTGCCTTTCTAGATAAAATCAGCGAACATGTTAATCAACGAAAGCGATTGGTTTAGATATCTCAAATGGCTTTTACAAAGTGTGGTATATGAGGTTGTTACATAAACTCTCCAGCTATGGCATCACTGGCAGTGGCAGAGTCTTTACAACAAGTCCTACTTATCAGGTAAGTTCACGAAGGTAATGATCAGTCTTCTGAAACACATGGGATCAATGCAGGCATCGCCCAAGGCAATCTCTTCTCGACCCTACCCATTTTTCTGATTATATTAACAGTCTGCTCAGGAGCATTCGGGGATCTTTAGTAATTATCTATACAGTTGTTACCCCAGTTTAAGGGTACGCTCTCAAAAAGCTAGATGGTCGGATTCTGGGAGTTGATCACTCCTCCGATCTAGTTCTAAGAGCTCAAAAAAAAAAAAAAAAGAAATTCTTGCAAAATTCAATACCCGACAAACAAAGCTATTGACATTCAATCAACATAGAACTGATTCTGAATTTCCAGCAGTCATGATGAAATGTTGTACTCTGAATTGGCGTTCAATTTCATCCCATATATCAAGTTAGTTACTGATAATCTGCACTTACCTCCTCATCTTAATCCGATAATCTCATGCAATAAACCTATAACTTTAGGGATTTTTAAGCTTTTATTAGGTGAAAAATACAAAAGCGACAACATTCTTTTACTAAAGTAAAATATATGAACACTATGCATTAATGATGTCGAATTCAAAAAGACTTTAAAACAATATCCTACACTCATTTGATATAAGGAAGCAGGTTATATTCTTTGAGCAATATTTGAAATTTAAAGCCCTATCTTGATTTTAATTAACTTTCTATGATGTCTTTATGAAGACTTAAAGCCTATGGAAAATGTATTTTTTTTCAGTATATGCTTACCACTATGACACCAGCTGCCCATTGAATTTAAATGAATATTCAAGATACATGAAGAAAAAGTTCTCTAATATCAGAAATAAACATAAAGACAAGTATTCATAATTTTGTAGTAAAATCAAAGTCAAGTTATTAGATTTAGCCTAAAATCTGTGTAGATATCCGAACTTCAATTCATTATGCAGCAAACCTACCCAGAAAGCAAATATTTGTTCCGTAGCTTTTATCTCCTGCAGATACTATTTGTAATTAAAGCGAAATTGTTTAGAATTTTTATTAACCGTGTGTAGAGATATGCCTTTTGCTTTGTGTCCATTTAAAATCATCGTTTTGTGTAATTTTGTGTGTAAAAATACAATTTCTACTTGCTCATTTATTCACCCGTTTAAGCATTTTAATTTTTTGCAATACATTTCTCTGGGTTTTGTAATGAAAAGAGAGCACAATATTTTTAAAGTGAAAAAATTGATTTACTTACAACAGAAAGAAACAGGATTCAGCACATTCAAAACTCGACTTATAGAAAAGTAGAAGATTCCAAATTTATTGAAAATACAGGAATACGTCTTACCTGAAAGAAAGAAAATAAAGTTCGTTAGAATTGAGGAAACGTAATTTAAACATTTTAGATCAAAAGAACATATAAATGAAATGTGTATTTTGAAGACAAAGCTTCTTGAATGTGTAAAGGCTATTGAGAATAACATTGCGAAAATATATAAGCTTCAATAAATCCGTAGTACTAAAACACAATTGTAATTTGGATAAGGTATTTTCAATGTTCCATCTCTGTATTTTGTGGAGGATAGTTACATGCATTAATAATGGAGCTAATATAGAAAATGAAAGTTTACTAAGTGAAACAAATGTTTTCAAGATGAAACTGTCTATCTTTATACTTAATAGAGAAATTTCGTTGACTTTAAGTTTTATAGAGGAAAAATTGTTAACCAAATACACATACACTCTGGCAACTGAGGTCAACACTAAGCGAGTTTGTTTTATTCTTGAACGTAATCTTCAGGTCTGTCACACACACACATATATATATATGTATATATATAATTACTTTCTACTGACTATTTAAAATAAGAACGAGAGTAGTATTCAGTTTGCAACCTTAATGATTTACACAACAGTCGACGATATATTTCTTTAATTTATGTAAAAAATGACATTCAATGAAATCGAACAAATCAAGAAAATGATAAAGTTTAGCTACTTGCAAGAAAATGCCATCTAAAATCTGACAACTTTTTATCCAATCTCCGATCAGCATGAGCTCATCCATTCCCCATCGGAATATCAGCAGTGAATCGGGTATAAAAAAAAAGGATTTTCTTTGAGTAATCACATAATGCCGAAATCGCAAATGTCATTCATAAAAAAATGGTAATTTCACTGCATATCAACAAATTTAAAACTCATTTTCATTTTATGTCTGGTCAATCTACGAGTGCAGCTCATGATATGTAACGACACCTGTTCTCTCAACAAGATTTTCTGGTGAGGAGGGTGGTTATATACGCAGCAAGAGAAAGGTGGATGAACCTTATGATAAGGTCAACGGTCACCGAGAACGTGATAAACTTCTCTCCATGACTATGTATGCAACTAGTGCGGTGATGGTATGGCTAAACTCAGGGCAGAGGGCTTCCGAGACTATAGTCAACGTCTAGGGCGTAATCGCAGTTATTATAGAGAAGGGAATAGGTATGAGACTGATGATGATGACGATGAAGACAACGACGACAACGATGATGATGATGATGATGACGACGACGACGACGATGGATTACAGCGATCTCAGAATACAATCACTCTTATCAACTGACGATAATGTAAGTGAGTATTTTATGTCATCTGTACTTTTATACAGCTGGGAAATTAAATCGACAGTCTCCTTTTATAATAACCTGACGTTATCTCAATGTTCATTCTGACTATGATCTGTTATTTAAAATCACATAGAAAGAAAATTATGAATTCAAACCGCATGCCTTCTTTGATAACATAGAAAAAAATCTCCAAATAAACGAACCCTAATGATTCGTCTATCAACTGATGCGAAACGTAAAGATTTTCTTCTTTATCGTTGAACAGAAATAAAACTGTGTAGACGATACCATAGACAAGATTTCTTTCTGTAAGTATACCAAGATGAGTAAATCTTAATTTCAGAAACATTTCAGCTATCAGCCTTTATAAAGCGAAGTTATATTTCTTATTAGTTAATTAAATTATCAGCAAATCTTTCACAAGTCGGCATTTGTCGTTAAGTGAATATCCAAATAATTTAAATCAATTAAAATTCACAATCCGAAAAGAAGACAATTTGAAGATAGACTGAGATCGTGACAATCTGTTTCATAATGGAATAAGAATGTGTTTTGAAAGAAAGGTTTTCACCATCTAGTTTTCAATAGAAATAATACTAGAATTAAATAATCGAATATGAATGTTACACTTAGAAGCTTCTGTCCTGAATGAGTTAAGACGTTGCTATATGAGTTTTTAGTCGGGATATTCATAAGAAGCAGAACAAATGCCATAGCTTTGTTAGGACTTGAATATAAAGAAGGAAATTACTTACACTTTGCCAGAAGGATTGATTCCCTCTGGCCTCTCTTGGTCAACACTTCTTTATTACTATTCCTTAGCTCTTTCAAATATTTCCTTTTCATTTGTTCTTCTTCACTTAATAACTTCTCCGTTCCTCTTTTGGTTTTCATTATTGTTTTTCTTCTTTCCAACGATTCTTCGCAAACATTCTTTTTAATTTCTGCCTTTTATTTCCTCAAGATCATTCACCATTCATCACAAAAATCTAATTTTCCCTTTTTAATTATTTTTTTTTTCATTCATTTTATCCTTACTTTTATTTTCTGTTTTCTTTTTAAATGTACTAAATTTCTTTTTAACCTAAAAATATCTTATGACATTATCAGCTTAAATATCTTTTTAGGATCTTTTCTATTTTAAATGTTTTATTCCGTTTCTAATAATTCAACCATTTTTTTCTGTTTTTAGTTGTTTATTTTTCTGATTTTATTTTCTAGTCGTTTCTTTCTTATTTTATTCCTCTTCATGTTCGGCTCTACATTCTTTTCCTATTAAACTTTCTTCATTTCTTGACGGACTGCATTCAACCTTTATTTCACCATCTCCGTACGTCAACATCTTCCTCTTTCAAGTATAGCATGGACGCACATCACAAAAGACGAACGTTGCCAAGCAAACAGCCAACGCGTCATATTTCAGAAGATATGTCTGACATTTTGGCAGCCTTCTTCACCGGAAGTGATGTCACGATCTGCTGCAGGCTCAAATCAAAGCTGTGTATTTGGCAGACCAGGCGTTGTCCGTACAACCTGCGAGTGGGAGCTGAAAAAGGGCGCGGGAAAACCAGAAAAAATGAATTCTAATATCTAATTATTAGCGCATGGGCGTGTGCATGTGTGTGTGGTAAACCGACTACGCAAAGCAGTGTATCTTCATTTTTATACGCTCTCCAGGAAAAAGAGGCAAATTATGATGGAAGCTGTCATTTGTGGCATGGCATTAAATTTGTTCCATATTGATCAGGAATTTTTCTCGGAAAAATGGCTGTTTCTTTTTTTCTATTTGTTTTTCTTTTGGCGTTGTCCCACTTTCTTGCAAAAAAGGTTACAGATATATGAATACATACGTGACAAAGAGATAAACAGACATATGAAAAAACCTACAGTGTATAGACTCGAATCAATAGACAACAAAGAAATATGCAGTAAATATAGACAGTTATAGATAGGCGCAAAAAGGCTTTCGCCTACATATAACTAGATGATTATTTACTTGGAATAAGCACCTGCAGTTCAGTTGAAATATATCCTTACATAATTACATAACTAGCTTTAAAATCTTATGTTGAAGTAAAGAAGGACAGTATCATTTGATATTTTATATAAACTAATTTAATTCTTTTTTATTTTTATTTGCCAGGCTATCTTTTCTATGCGCTCTTCACTAATGTTCGCCTATTGAAAGTTTTCTTTTCAAGAAAACTGACGAACGTTGGATCACCTCGCTGGAGAAACTAAAGTTTCTTCATTTACTCATTCTTAAGTGATTTTCATTTTAAAAAGATGGAAAAACCTCAGTGAAAAAAACTCAGTCTTTCTGTCATATAGTCACTTCAGGTTCAATTTATATGATTGTCAATGATCGTTCTAAAATCAACGTAATACTTAAACAAGAATAGAAACGTATGGATAGAATTTTATTACGTATGGAGAGCATTTTATTACTGATGAGTTTTAAAGCGTTTCGACGTATGGTTAGTCGGTTGATTTTGCTTAGCAGCCTATCAACTTTTATGCGTTATTTAATACCGAAATCTGAATATTTTGTACGTAATTTGATGCTTTCAAATGCCGATATTTTCTACATAATTTTATACTTTCAGGTTAAAAGTATGTTTCTTCATATAAATATTTTGCAGGTCATAAAAGGTATTATTGGTAATTTTACTATAAAAATGTATTTTTTCATATTTTTGTGGGTTGCATTGATTATCATTTTACTATAAAATGTATTGTTAGTCATTTTATTATAAAAATGTATTGTTAGTCATTTTATTATAAAAATGTACTGTTGATTTCTGTTTGAGAGGGTTCACTATTTGCCCATAGCTGGGAACCTGCCACCCCACCTTCTAGATATGGAAATTGCATTTCAAATTTTCCTTTCAAGTTAACTATTTCCTAGAGGATAGTAAAAAGTAAAATATGGAAGTTTTTATGTGGTGAGAATGTAATTCTATTAAATAAATAGGCATGAATCAAATATTAACATGGAGGAATTAAAATTCACAGTAACTGATGTATAGCATAATAGAGTAAAGTGCGAATTTAGTCAAAATTCGAAATAATAAATTGAAAAGTTTTAAAAGTTACCTCCAAGTATGTGATGACAAAGATGAGATGAGAGGAACAGCTTTTACATAAATAATAAATAAAAATCAAACATGGTATATTATTAAATTTATATTTTATTAATCGATTTATTTTTATATTATTGTTCCTTATTTGGCAAAGCATTCATTGTAATAAAAACAGTTGTTTGATAACAATATAGGTACTACAACATGCATATATCGTATTTTAGATATTGTTGATAAAAATATATTAGAGTCAAAAGTTTGATATGCCAAAAGAAACAGGAAAATACGTTTGAACGAGTTTACTATAAGTTAAAACACGGCAAGAATCGGAAGAAATAACTTAAAAATTCGTTGTTGTATTTTATTCTGTTGTCTTGATTTTGGTGTGGATTAGTCTTATTATCGTTATGCAGACGCTTCCCAACACAGAGGGAGTTTTTATGTGAAGCAATGTTTTTGATGAGCTCAGGAAAAGAGATAAAAACAAATAAGTTTTGAAAATAGCAATTCTGAAAGTAAGGTTTTCCTCTTTATATATTTAATATCCAAAGACACTATTTTATTTGCGAGAGATGAAAGGAAGGCAGACAAAGGAATATTTAAGTATGGGAATAAAAATCATCGAAAGCGGATTTATTAACTGCAAAAACTTCTAAACTTTTAAAATACGAGTTGCAACGATAAAGCTACCAATAGAGCATTCACTGACTTTATGCAATGCAAAGTCAGACGCGATATTTAGTAAATATATTCACATAAATTTAGTATTTGGACCATCTCAAATATTTTGTAGGGTAAAATATTTCTATCAAAAGACCACAGGTTCCAAATAGAAATCAAACTATTACATTGGTAATCCACTTTCCCTTGACACCTTTGTTTTTTTTTACTGTAATTAATCATTTATCAAATCCAAGCGTATATTCATGTTAATATTTTTGATACCATTATTTCTTCAAGACAAGTACTGAGTCAGCACAGAAAAACAGAAAAATCCCTTAAAACCTTTTACTTTTGAAACAACTGCAAATAAACCAATATATATATATATATATATATATATATATATATATATATATATATATATGTGTGTGTGTGTGTGCGTGATACAAAATAGTTTTAATATTTAACACACACACATACACACACGCATATATCTATCTATCTATCTATCTATCTATCTATATATATATATATATATATATATATATATATATATATAGTCATCCACAGAAAGACTGTTGCGCTGCATCACAGCTCCTCAGTGTGGCTAGACGATTGCTTCAAGCCGACATTAGTCAGATATCTTACCTCTAGACCATCGTCGCAGGGCAGAAACGAAAGGAATTTAAATGTTTTTTCTCTATAAGAAATACGTCAGTGGCTTGGAGAACTCAATTCAATTTACTTAATCCTTACTAGCAGTAGGAGCTGCTGCTTTTTAAACCCCCTTTTCCTAAAGAGATCAACCGGGTTTCCAGGAGCATAAAGTAAGGTTTCTTTATATAGTCTACAACGCTCAAAATATAGGAAAAATTACTTGAAACCTGAAACGTTAAATTATGTGTTAATGCGAGATATATCATGGGATAGCCATATGTATCACCATTTCAATTTGCCTTTTGAAAATCATGGAACTGGGAAACAGTAAAGGTATTGTAAATAAATATTCTTAAAGACTTCAGTTGCGTTTTTATCTACTTTTCCATATATATATATATATATATATATATATATATATATATATGTATTGTTTATATATATATATATATATATATATATATATATATATATATATATATATATATATTCTATTATATATATATTATTCTCTATATATATATATTCTATATATATTATATATATATATATATATATATATATATATAGTTTTCCATATATATATATAGTTTGATGTAGGATTTTAATAATGGTAAATGAAGTAATGGATAATTTAGCGATTATATAATCAATTACAAATCATTGAAGACTGTTTTTTCAATATTATGATTGTAGTTGATGAAAGACTCTTTAAGATTATCAATCACAATAAAAAATTAAGAAGAATGTGTTGCTTAAATGAATCATAACCTTAACGAGTGGAGGACATATTTTGCTGCATGCGCCTATTGGCATTAAGTGATGTTTGTGATGTTTGTTTCGTTTTCAGCTTGTAAACTGAGAGATGAGAAATAAGCGATCAGTTGATGGCGTGCAAATGAGCAAAGATCATCTCTTCACTAGGAAGGCGTGGCAACAGCCTCTACCTTTCCCTCCTCATTATTCATTTCCTCTTTTCTGAAGCTGCGTCAGAGCAACCACAAGAGAAGCAAATTATCGCCATCAATGTATCTTCTGCCAACATCATTTCGCATTGAATCTCCGGAGACACGAATATTGGCTGCAACGTCAGTCTCAAAAACCCAATGACGGCTAACCAATCTTTTCTCCGATTAGAGAAAGAAACGAAATAATACAGCAACAAAACTGACGTAAAAAAAAAAAAGATATATATATATTTTTTATAAAAGGAATTTTGAACAATTCCTCTCTATTTTTATTTGTTTCTGTTCTTCCTCTCTGCCGGTGTAAATATACGCGCTGTAAATATATGATTTTTTTTTTAAGATTAAGGAATCAAAAGTTGAATTTCTACAATATCTTATATGAATTCTTAAAATTTAATTCTATCACAGATAAGGTTTGAAAGAAAGTCATTAAACTGGAAAATTCTGCATTAACAAATTAACCGCGGAAGACTGATTTTTCCGTCATTGCAGTGATATGGTTTAATTGTAATATTTTAAACAATATTCAATTAACAAATACTATATATGTAGGAGAATCACTCAAATAATAGCAGCAGAAATATGATTCGTGTTCACGGACATAAAAGCATACATAACAGAGAATAAAACGTACACAATATAACAGGAAAGCATGGTAAATTGTATGTTACTTTCTGTTATGGTCCGGTTCCTTGTACCACGGTGATAGTCCAAGGTAGAACCAATAAAGAAGAACTCGAATGCGGATATGGAATAACACAGAGGAATATATACAGAGAAGTAGAAAGTGTACGAACAATCAGGTTTAGTAGTAATTGTCTGAACGCGACTCTGTTTCGGTCTGCCTCTGACTCGACAGACTGACTCACTCGCTCTGACTGACTGACAGACTCCTGACGGACTTCACTCCAGACTTCAGACTGAACGGTATTTAGTCACCCCCCCCCCCAACAAGGGCATCATGTGTCACAAGGCCGGTTTAACGTGGGATCTCCGAGCCCGTGGGATCTCCGAGCCCGTGGGATCTCCGAGCCCGTGGGCTCGGCCAAAAATATGCCCTTTGAACCCGTATAAACGGGTTCAGGGTCGGTTTACCTCCCCGAAAAAGACTCCGCCCTTCGGCGTAGCCTCGTTCGGGTTCCTCCCCGCCCGAAGGCAGAGAGTTCAACTGATCA